AAATAAGTCCATTATGTTTAGATTTTGAATTAGTTTTGACTGGCTTTGCATTCTTTTTTAGCCACCTTGTCCATAACATGGCACTTATCCTCACGTAAAATAAAACAGTGGCTTGCAAAGAAGGATGAGAGTCTGCACTCAAGAGAAAACCAAGGTGAAAACCTATTTGGTTCCCTATAACTAGGTATGTTGTTCTTTGGGCTCAGACTTATATTCTTGTGCACACAGGACAGTCTCCTGAGAAGATTCACTCATGGATGCAGTTGCCTATGGATACAGATGCAGAGGTTCTGTGGGAGACACAAATGCAGAAGCTTCTGGGTGGGGGCGTTGCCAGGCTTGGACCAACGAGGCCCCAGTTCCAAATCTGTTTCACAGGACTCTGAATGATCTGCCTGGTACCAGCGGCAGGACCTCTTGCCATGCAAAGGGCAGCTTTCAGAAGGGAAGATTTAACCCTCTCCTCTCCAGGTGTTGCAATGCTTCCTCTTGCCCACACATGGTCATTAAGCCAAGGGGGGGAAAAACATTGAATGAGTCTTTTCTACTAAGAGCTTCTTTGATGAACTTACTTGCCATCCAATGAAGGATTTATTCAGAAGAAAGGAAGCAAACATGAGAGACAGTCAGTGAGGCAGGCAGCTCTTTTTGTGTGTTTCGTCTTTTCCTTTTGCACCTTCAATGGAGGATTTATTCAGAAGAAAGGAAGCAAACATGAGAGACAGTCGCGCTGCTCAGTGAGGCAGGCAGCTCTTTTTGTGTGTTTCGTCTTTTCCTTTTGCACCTTCAATGGTTATCGCATTACATCTTCTAGGGGGTGAGTCCCAACCCTGGAATTGTTTGTGAAGGTTGATCACTTTGTTGAATCCTCTCTCAAAAACGGAGTTCTGGGCATTGCCAGGAAATGTGAGAACCCTGCCACAGGAATTGTTAGGATTCTTCTTCTCCGCACCAAGATTTTTATTTTTGAAAGACGATATAAACATATTTCAAGTGTGATCTATACTTGCTACTGCTAGACGTTCAATACAAGGATAAAGACATTCCAAGGCCCTTTCAAATTGCTCATGATTTTAGTGGAAAGAGGAAAAACAAGGCCTTGCCAGATGATATGTCTGGCAATGAAAGCAAAGGAAAGGGATTTTGAAAAGGGCAGGAATCTGACATTTTGCCTGGGTGATTTATCTGTAAAATGAACGTGGCTCCAAGATGTGCTAAAAGTCATACATGTCTTTCTGAATTCCCACGTTACTTATATTTCTCTTTAGTCGTGAGAGGACATAAAGGAACATTCTGTAGTCCAGTTTTACTGTACGTTGGTGAAATAAGAGTTCCAAAGGAGTACTTCCTTCTGGTGAGGATCTCATGGTTTACGAAGCCACAGAAAAGTGTCACGTGCAACCGAGGCTGCACATTCTGAAAGTGGCAACAACTGTTACTCAAAGTTTGTCTCCTGTGAGTAAGGGATGCGGCCATTTCAGATTTTGCCATGGAGTAAACAAAAAGGATTTCAGTAAGTAAAAGGCAAAGTTCAGGGCAACGTTTGTGAATCTACTTTTAGCTTAAAGGATAGGGATGTCCGTAATATTTGTCAAGATTTTACTTGAGCAGCCACATTACCTCCAAAGAGGTTTTTAAGCAAAATACATGGAAATGCAGTGGCTGAAATCCTGTTGCTTAGCATCGTACGTCACAGTAGAGTAGACCCACTGAACTGATGGAATTTACAGAGGAGTTGACTAACGATGTTGGGTTGACTCTAGAAAGGTGCACAACAACCAAGAGTGTCTGCAGGAATTTTTCTAAGGGAAGGGCTGGATAGTAGTAGCTTTCCATAACTGCATGCAGAGTGTGAGCTAACGCAACACGGTATGTCTGTACTGAAATGACAAATACATTAAGAATGGGAGGGGGTAGCAGATAGCTTGCATTCCCTGATACCCATTATCCCTGAATTTGGTGTCAACTTTTGTGCCCTGCAACCCACTGCAACAGGCGCATGGAGACCAGCAAGAGGGTGTGAGCATGGAACTTGATGGAGAAAACCCAACTTAGAAGCAAATAGTTAGGGTGGAAATTTGAGGCAGGATGGCTGGGGCCAAAGGTCTTATGAGGGCTAAACATGTTCCATGGCCACAAGGTGGAAGGGAAAGTCCTGTGAGATAGCTTTGCCAGCTGGTTGCCCAGAACCATTATATCCGATACTACAGTCTTTTGTTGCATACCCAACATGGCATTCCTAATGTATCTCCTGGAGCATGGCAGACTGTTCGTCATACGTTTGGGCTTTCTTGTAATCCAGCAATCATACACCAAGTTTTCCAGCCTTAATGTTTCTCTCCCACCACCAGATGACATTACTGTGCGGTGTGTGATTTGCATTTACTATGAAAAGGTTGCATTCTTTTTGCAGAACTTGCAGTTTCAGATTGTCCAGGCACTTTTACTGTCTAGACCAAAACACTGGAAGAAAAGGGAAACTGGTGCCCTGTAGTAAATATGTACGCAAAAGAGGAAGAGTTGAATACAAAGGGCAGGGATGGGTAGACTGACGCCAGGCTTGTGGGTTCCTCGGGCAGAGCTTGAGAAACTAACACTTTTACTCTGCAACTCCCTGAATCGCTGAGCCAGTATGGTCACCAGGGTTATGCTGACTGGGCAGTTCTGGGAGCTGTTCTTCCCCAAAAAGGGTCATTTTTTTGCAAGCTCTGCAGGCCAGGGACCTGCCAGCCCCTGACTTTTTTTGGCCTCAGTGGCCTAATTTAGAGGAGAGAAAGAACGAGATCATTGGTTGTCCTTCTTAAAGCACTGCAACGTGGGTGACGTATGGTCCAGGGAGGGGAGTCCCTCACACCCTGATCAATTCTGAAGTGAGACAAACACCACCCCCACCACGCCACTTGTGCCATGAGACACCCCACACTGGGACCCTTTAGGTACTGGCTCACTACCTTCTGTAGACTGCCATGCAAACAACAAACAGTAGGGACCTACAGAGGGTATGAGAGAGAGAGAGAGAGAGAGAGAGAGAGAGAGAGAGAGAGAGAGTGAGTCCACGAAGATGCCAGATAATGAGGAAGCAGGCATTTTACAAATTGGACTTCTGGGTTGTTGGTGTTGAGGATGCAACCTACCCAGGTGTATGGAGGATCAAGCCCTGCCAGTACTTTCATAAGGCAATGGGCAGATGCATGAAATACATTCTTTATTTCAGATTCTTCTTAAAATGGCTGTTGTGGAATTATGTGTGAAAACATCTGGGATATGTGTTTCTGTTGTTATGTGCTGTCAAAACACTTCTGACTTATATTTCTCTTTAGCAGTGAGAGGACATAAAGGAACATTCTGTAGTCCAGTTTTACGTTGGTGAAATAAGAGTTCCAAAGGAGTACTTATGCCGATTCTAGTAAGATTATCAAGGTATATGAGATGTGCAACAAGAGGTTTGCCATTGTCATCAGCCAGGTGAGTTTCCATGGCTGAGAAGGAATTTGAACTCAGGTCTCCAGACCCTTAGCTCAAAACTCTATCCGCCATTCTACACTGGCTCTTTGACTATGTTATTTGCATTTTATATACTGTACATTACCATACATAAGAATGAATGGATGAATATGGATATATGTGTGTAATTTAGCGTTGCCCATTATTTGCTTTGACCCACCCAAAGACCCCTGCCCGAGGAGAAAGACAGAGAGGATTGCCATCTTTCACCACCCACAGAAACAGAGGAGAGGCTTTGCCGTTGTTTCTTTAAGAACAAAGGTTCCCAAGGGCTCTTAGAATACAGAATTCCATTCTGTGACCATTCAAATTATGTGATTCTATTGATCAAGATGTTGTTGTTCGGTGCAAGCCAAATTGTAACGTGTGGTCCATGTGGTCCATTCCTCCTGGCAAGCAAACGGTCCCTGCCGTGATTCTGCAGAGCATGCACGCATGCTGGCTGGATGCATGCGCACCCTCCTCCCTGAAAATCATGGCAGGGGCACTTGGTTTACCAGGGAGGAAGAAGTTGAAAGTTACACTTTGACAAAGAAACATAATTTCAGTCCATTAAATGAAAATACTTGAACTTATGAGAGAGACATCAGGGAAGTAGAGTTTATTTTGCCCAGGAATCGCCTCCTCTGTTTGATGTAGGCAACTGCAGGCCAACATTGTAAATACAGCATGAGCTGGAAGGCTGTGGCTAATCTGATTATTTAAAACAAAGGAATAATTAACATAGTTTGTATAGAATTTTAATGAAGGTGGCAGGTGCCAAGCTACACTTTACAAGCTTGTAGTATTTATTCTACAATATCCTTATTCCACAGTACAGTGTGTCCAAATGTGGTGTATTAATGTAATGAGTAAAATGTAATAAATGTGCCCCCTTGGTTTTTTTAATCTTTAGTTTTTATTTTTATTTTTATATTTGACTAGTTAGTAAAAGTGCATTTTCATTTTTTGTGATATTGTCATTTTTGTCAGTGCACCCAGTTTTCAACCCATCCAACCCCCAAGTTTGGCACCAACATGGGTGCGCACTACCCTTGAAAGCAACCTGGAAATCAATAAGCAGTGCAAAACATGGCTGCCAAAAACCTGCCAGGCACAGCTGTCAGGAAGCCCATAATGCCATTCCCTCAGAGAGATGCCCTGGTTGCTTATCTGCTTCCAGGCTGGGTGCTGGTGCTGACATACAAAGCCCTAAATTAGGGATGGGGGGGACCTCCGGATGCCGCTCCATTCAGGCCTTTAGCCACAAGGTTCTCCTGCTTCATCAATGATTGTATATAAGACAGTTTAAAGGTGCAGAAGCTAAACTCTGCTGTGCTAGTCAGTTCGGTACTCCATTGAAATGGTAGTGACTCCCCCACCACTCGTGTTTTGCTGAGGCATCAGTGCAGAGTCCTTCCCAGAACACAAATAGGAAGATATGGTGTTCCCCAGAAAGGAAGAAATGGTTTAAGTTTTCACACAGAGAGAGAGAGAGAGAGAGAGAGAGAGGCTGCAAGGGGTTGCTGTTTATTTTCTACTCTGCAATAGATTCACCTCTAGCTTTCAGTGCTCTCCAAATGTTGGTGCCCTGGGGCACAGCCCCACTTGTTCCGTCCCAAATGCACCCCAGCCTGGAAAGCAGATACGTAGACCGAAGCTGGGATTTGCAGTGCAGAAAGCTGTTGTATGGAACTCAGCTCTGTTCCTTGGCAGTTCATCGGGAGAAATCATCATTACATTGTGGGAACATCGTGACTGCAGCAGTTCACTGCAAGGGCTGGCTAATCTGTGGTGGGAGAGAAAGTGCATGTCAGGACTGAGGCGAAAGCAGTCGCTATGGCAGTGGAGCCAGGAGTCCTACCAAACTGGCGGGTCAAGTCAGAATTCAGAGTTACTAAACAAGAAAGACATTAGAACAAAACGGACTAATAGTCATTGCCAAGGCAAGGTCCTGGCTTAATTAGGGGCCCATTCATCACAAGAGGTTTATGGAAAACACCACTCAAGAATCCATAACAGAACTGTGTCTCTCTCCTCTAAGAACAGAACAAACACTGGAAACTCCATCTCAATACAATCAAATCCAGTGCCGCCTACTGATTAAATCAGGTAATGACCACCAGAGGCACCTTTTGCAGCCTCTCCTGTCAGGGAGAGCCACTGATCCACACAATTGGAGGAAGTCAGTATAGACCGGCTTTAGGCCAAGTTACCATCTCCTGGGTTGACCAGTTGTAGCCTTTCCCTGTAAGCCAGGAGAAGTGGTCTTTACTACTTTTGACAAATGGAACTGGATATGATTGAACTCTGTGAAAGAAACCAAGGTATTTATGAATTACTTATTCAAAAGGATTTGGAATAACACTCTGCCACAGACTGTGGCTATTTTGTTGAAAAGCCATTTAACAGAGCAGTTTCCCACCCGTGAGCCTTCTCCCACCCTTGCCAACTCTGTTCTTTGTGTTGTGGCTCCTTGCTAGCTTGCACTGAGATGCTGCAGTCTACTTACGGCTCAGATGGATGTCCTCAGAGCCAGAGCCAAAGGGAAGACGACAGCCAACAGAGAAAAGACAACCTACTGTTTCCCAGCGGCAGCACCCACTTTGTTTGACTTAGGAGAGCCGACGTGTCGCTTTGTAGTTCCTTTGAGCACTGCATGTCGGTTTGACTGCCAAGAATCTCTTGAGCATGGTTTCCAAAGCAGACAGCAAATATTTAACTTGGGAAAATGGTATGGAAACATGGCAGGTTTTAAAGGTATGCTGAATATCTACAGAAAAAAAAGGGGGTCCACTCAAAAGTCCATTTTTGTCCATATTCAATTCAGAACAAAACATTGTTTTTTTCTGATGTAAATTGGGCTTGGTGTACAACAATCAGAGCTTATATGGGTTTCCAAAGCAGACAGCAAATATTTAACTTGGGAAAATGGTATGGAAACATGGCAGGTTTTAAAGGTATGCTGAATATCTACAGAAAAAAAAGGGGGTCCACTCAAAAGTCCATTTTTGTCCATATTCAATTCAGAACAAAACATTGTTTTTTTCTGATGTAAATTGGGCTTGGTGTACAACAATCAGAGCTTATATGTAATTAGTTACACATAATGCTGTTACCTGCAGCTAGTTACTTATAACTATGTATTGCTGTAACCTATAACTAGTTACATGTATCTCGTTATTGTTGGGGTGACATACAGTTAGTATTTGGCCCCATCTGTGCTGGCCTTCTGCAGGCAGGTGAAGACTTTTCAAGCTGGCTTTCCCTCAGTGACCTGGCTGTCTGAGAGGGTTTTTAAAAAATATATGGTTGTGCCTTGTTGCTTTTAAATTGTAAGGCGCCCAGAGACGTTTGAGTAGTGTGGGTGGCATATAAGTTAAATAAATAAATAAACAAACAAATAAACAAATAAACAAACAAACAAACAAATGTGTCTTTAGTATTATATTGTTTACCATTTTAAATATAATATTTCTTTAATTTTGGACTGTTGTGCTCTGTTATTTTAAATGTGTTTTAATATTGATCTCAGTTACCATTTTAATACAGTACGTGTTTAATTCTTTTTAAATATTTGTTTACTTGCTTGTTTTTTTTTGTTTTTTGCTTTTATATGTTGTCTTTTCAATGATGTACACCACCTTGGGTCCTTTCTAAGGAAAAAGGTGGGGTAAAAAATATATTAAATACATAAATAAAACAAAATAGTCACCAAGTCACCTTTTAGGTATGAGAAACACCTATGTTACATAGGTGTAATAACTAACATCTAGCAACTGTCAAAATTTATTTTTAAGTGCATTGAAGACATAGGATTTTTTTTCAGTTTTTATGCCATTTTCTTATCAATCCTAAGTGAGAAGAGATATATTCTGTGGTTTTATATTTTATAAATATTTCCAAGCTGCAAGTTCAGAATTTGCTGCTAGAAGGAGTGAGAGACATTGGGGAGGGGGCCTAGCATGTGAATAATGCACCAGGCCATGGAGCATTCTGGTGTAACTTATTTCCTGGCGACCACACAATTGTGCAGGAAAATGTGCTCCATCTCAGGCCTGATACATGCCCTTTCTGGTGCAACTGTAGGCTTCAATAGCTGGAATTGGGCCGGCGTGATTCCTCGGCAGATCAAAGAGCCCTTTCTGGTGAGATCAGGTGCATGCCTTTGCAGCCATCCGCTCTCACCGTACATTTGACGGTCCAGTGCAGCTTTTCACTGCGTGGTGTCCTGCAGATGTTTTGAACTACATCTGGAGAGCAATGCGATGACGTAAGTCTGAGCCAATATGTGAGTGATCAAGAATTGTGGGAACTGCAGTTTAGAACAAATGGAGAGCACTAAGTTGAGAAGGGACGTCTCATTTGTGGGACCTGGACTGTGATGCCAAGCAGATACATGAAAAATGCATTCCTCTGAAATCAATGTGGGGCAGTTTACAAAAAAACATTTTGCATACACCTGGGGATCTTCTTTCTCTTAGGCCACATTGTCTGAAACCGTCTGTTATTTAACAGCAATCAATCGTGCTGCAAGATGTACCGTGAGAAGGGGAATAACCTAAGACCTACCTACATAGTACACTGTGGGGAAAGTAGCCAGAGGCACAAGGAAGGTGGCCACTACATTTGTTTAGGATCACTACAGTGAGGTAGTCAGAGTGTCAGATTAAAACAGGAAAGACTTGAGTTCAAATTTCCTGAAACTCTCTGGATGACCTTGGGTCATTCACTCACTCTTCATCTAAATAATAATCATGTGCCACTTATGGTGACCCTTTTCCAGGGTTTCCCAGGTAGAGGATACACAGGAATGGTTGACCCTTCCCTCTTTCTGGGGGCACCCTGGGACTGTACAGTTTGTCCAAGGCCACCCAGGCGCTGAGCTCACAGGAGGCACAGTAAGGAATTGAACTGCCAACCTCTGGTACCACAGCCAGATGTACCTAAACCACTGAACTACCTTGCTAGCTCAACCTCAAAGGGTTGTCGGCAGGATAACATGCGAAGGCGTGGCGAGAAAGACGGTGTGTAATCCAATAAGGTCCTTCCACTGGCAGAATTCCTTCTGCTCCTGCATGCAGAATGAGACGTGGGGCGAAACGGCCCCCGGCCCCCTCTGCAACCCGTCTCCTGCTCATCTTCACGATCTGCTCTAGGAGGTTGGGCAGAGCGAGCTGTAAGGGCAAAAAGAAGAAAAGAAAACCTCAGTGAACAAGTAAGACCTCTCTAATCACATGGGGTAGAATTTCACCCCACATCTGTCATCCATTCCTTTGAGCAGTGGCTCCCAACCTTGGTCCCCAGACGTTCTTGGACTGCAGCTCCCAGAACCCCTTCCCACTCGCTGCTATGTTGAACAAAACAAAAGGAACTGGTACATCCATGGAAGTCCAGATTATAAATGAGAAACAAAGTCTCAGGATGTAGAAAATAGAATCAAGCTATTTATTCTGTGGTCGTTCTGAGTTTTACGGGCTCTTAGGCCATGTTCTGAAGGTTGTTCTTCCTGACATTTCACCAGTCTCTGTGGCCAGCATCTTCAGAGGACAGCAACCTGTACTCTGGTGTAGTTGGCTTGGGAAGAACAACCTTCAGAACACAGCCTAAGAGCCCGAAAAACCCAGAATAAGCATTAGATCCCAGCCGTGAAAGCCTTCGCAAATATATTTATTCTGTATTTCTTTAAATGAGTCATTAAAAAGCTCTGGCTCAAAGCCTTCTTCAGGAGCTAAGCATAACACAAAACCACAGATTACATAAACACACACAGAGAGACAGACAGACAGGCAGGCAGACACACCTGGATTAGGACAGTTTATATACTGTAAATACATGCATTTATTCTGAGCACATTAGGCATGATGAAATACAGTAGATTAAACAGAATATCAAACACTTACCAAGCTTCTTTATACAGCACTCTCTGCACCTTTCTTTGGTCTAGATCAGCTCCAAAACTAATTGAAAGTGTTCGAAAGTGCAGGCACTAGGAAAGGAGGCATTTGTACACAGCCCATCAGTGTTATCATAATAAAGGGAGGAAGTCTATTTCTTCATTTAACCCATGAGGTACTAGGGTGTTCAATTTCAGAATCCAATCAATTTCCCTCTTTAGTAAAGGCTTTTCACAGTTCCCAGGAACTATGTCCACAGCCCAGAACACTGGATCTTTTATTGTATGGTTATTTTCTGTAAAATGGCCAATTAGAGGTTTTTCCTATGTACAGTTTATTAGCTGTGTTGGCCAGGATTTCGGGGCCAACACAGCAGTCCAAGAATATCGGTGAACCCAAGGTTGGGAACCACTGCCTTAGACAAAGCAGGGAGACTTAAAGAAAAGAAATAGAGGTCTTTTTGTTTTATCACAAGGCAAGGGAGGGGGAAAGGGTGGTCCTCCAAATGTGGTTGAACTGCAACTCCCATCAGGTCCTAGTCAGCACACCCAAGTATGAGGTGCTGTTGAACAACATCTGGAGGTTTATGTTTTCCTCACTGCTGTTCTAGGACAAGAGGGGACCTACTTCAGCTAGCTTGTTATAGCACAGCAGAACTGCTGTTATAAATGAATGGTCCTGGCAAATAGTTATTGGGCACGTTCTGTCCGCAACATGGTCTGAATTACCCCTTGCAGTAAGCGCAGTAATGAGTATTCAATATCAGTTTAATTGTTTTTCATCTAGCTTCAAATAACCAGTCCAGACAACATTCAAAGGAAAATGGGAGATGGAATTCTTCGGTATATACAAATTTTCTCATCTTCTAAACTGCTCAGAAGGCACAACAGTTCTAAAGGGGATTCCTCCCAATTTCCTTGGCAGCTGAAATAAATCTCAGTTCCTGTTATTTTCATAGGCTAGGGCTATCTGCTTGAATCAGCTGTGAACTGTGGAAGGCAAAGTATACCTCTAAGATATAAAGTGTGTAACTGACTGTTTATTTAAAGGTTATCTTGAAAGACATACTGTACAAGGTATGCAAGATTTTCAGCAAAAGGTTTCACCACTGCTAATCCCCAGTGAGTTTTTATGGCTTAGTGGGGATTCGAACCCAGGACTTCTGAGCTCTAGTGTCATATTCCATTTACTATACAGTACTATATTTACTCTCAAAATTAATTCAATCAAAATGCTTTCAGGAGAACACACTCTGGATGGAAATGTTAAAATCTTTCTTTCTTTCTGAAATCTTGACTGAGAGACAGAGTACAAATTAGAAAACCATGTTGATTCACCTGTGCCCTCTTCCCAAAATTGTTATTCCTGCTGCTGGCACTGTTTTCTGCAGTTCAGGGGCCGTCAACGCTAGAAACACATCTCAGTTTGTAACCTCTGCCTGACCTTAACCTCTTTCCAGATGCAGTTCAAGCTCTGAGCCTTGGAGTCATCGGGCTTCTGGTTTCCCTATAAGATTCTCAGGCCGAATGGATTTTATGCCCCTGCCTCAGTCAAAAATGTCTAGAGAAATACAAGGGCAGGAGGATTTATTTCTCTTTTCCAAAATTCATTTTAAAGATAATTTTCTAACACTATATAAAAAGCACAGACAGGTGCTACGGGTGGAGCCTGACTATTTTCTCTCTGCTAACAGAGAGAGGAGAAGAGAAAGGGAGTCGGTTTTCAGCAACTCCTTGCAGCTGGCCTCTATACTGTAATACCCAGGGGTTGATGTATGGCTATATATAGATACCAACTGCGAAAGACATTGTTCCTTGCTAGGAAGATGAAATATGCAAGATCAAACCAACAAGTCCCTCACCTCTGCCCACAGACAATTCTTACTCACTACAGAACCCACACTCCTTACCCATCAGCGACCATTTTATGGAAGGAAGAGGGTGAGCTCTCCTTTCTCTCCTTCTCAAGTCTTATGTGCTTCATTGGGTGTGTTTCAGGGGCAGGGGGCAAGGGGGAAAAGTCCTTCCATCCCTCTTGTGCTGTTCTGTCCTTGAAGCAGAGACAGGGTGCCAAAGAGGAATTCCTTGGGGTTAATTCTGTGGCTCTCTGTGCACTTCAGAAGCGTAAGCGCAGGCCCCATTGAACAGCGCTTCTTACTCGAAAAACAAACATTCACAATGAAAACATCCCCTGCCCTTTGTGTGTGTAGATCTGAGTTATCAGCACCAGTGATCTCGGCAGCACCTAACAATGACTGAGTTCCAAAGTCTCCTAACAACAAAGTGACAGGTGCCCATGAAAGAGCACTGCCCCGCATTGCAGGTTATACACAAGGGATGAATAAAGGAAATGTATGATTCTCTGAAGATGTAATTAGAATGGGAAAGATTAGATTTTTGTGAACAATGGAATATTCGGGAAAGAGATGGGAAAACTCCAGCCTGTCGTATGGGCTTGGACTCTGGAGGATCGCAGTCCGGGCTCTGGGGGGTGGGGGTGGGGACTTACTTCCTTGAGCCCATTTCCTCCTCCGTTTCGGTGCAGCTGCAAAAGGAAGTGCTTCCTTTCTGCTCTAGCCGTCAAAGAGAAACAACCAAATGTAAGGGGCAAGACTTGGATTTATTGAGAGCATGATGTGGCCAGGTTGGAAGCTTTAAGTATTTGCCCCAGCTGTGGGCTGCAGTCCCAATTGGGGGTGGCATTTCATCCACTAAAAGGTTTCCAGGACTGCACTTGAACCTTAAGAAGATCCAAATCAGGGCTACAGAAGAACGACACAGCTTTAACCTTGACAATGAAGAAATTGAAATGGAGATTTTGCTCCCTTTGGCTCTATCATCCATCCAAAGGGAGATTACAGCCAAGACATCAGAAGAAGAATGAGACTCAGAAGGGCAGCAAAGAAGAAATTAGGGGAAAAATCATCAAGTGTAAAGATATGTCACTGGAGACCAAGGACAAGACCATGCATACACTTGTATTTCTGCCGCACATTTTAAATGTGTTTTTAGTATTGATTTTGTTGACCATTTAAAATATAATAATTGTTTAATTCTTTTTAAAGATTTGTATCTCTGGGTGTATGGGTGTGAAACCTAGACAGTGTAGAAAGCTGAGAGGAGAAAAACTGATTAGTTTGAAATATCCTTCTGAAGAAGTGCTTGGTGGATATCCTGGACCACTAGAAAGACAAAGAAATGAGTCCTAGAGCAACTCAAGCCTGAGCTATTGCGTTTTACTTTGGGCACATCATGAGAAGGCAAGATTCTCTGGAAAAGACAATAATGTTAGGAAAAGTTGAAAGCAGCAAGAAAAGAGAAAGATTAACTGGGAGACAGACCGACTCCCTAAAGAGAGCCACAGACTTGAGTTTACAAGAGCTGAGCTGAACTATTGGCAACAGGTTATTTTGGTGTCATTTTCGAGACCACTCATTCATAGGATTGCTGTTGGAGGTGACTTGATGGCATTTAACAACAACAAGTTCTCTGTTTATTTTTACCCCCAGTACTTCTAGGCCTATATGCTACATAAAACAGAGAATGGAGATTTACAAAATCTACATATGAAACAATTGTCATTTTGCTTGTCGATCAGCTCAAATAAATAAATAATGACATGATTCAGTGTGCCAAAATTAAGCTTCTTTAAACCCCATTGATTTCAGTGGCAAAGATTCAGCCATATCCTTGGACAGCTGCAATTCAAAAACTGCTTAATGTCAGAGTAGTTGCCCTTTAAATTTAGTTGGATCATGCATAAAATGGAGTGATGACAGTTTAAAGAAAAGTGGATAAGTAGGGGGGAATTATAGATATATATTTGTGAACAATGGCATATAAGTATATATATATAAGTGGTTTTTATCACACCACCAGTATTTCTATGTATTCATTCATTTCCCCAAACACTTCTTTTAGGTAATTATAGGGTTAGGTACTCTTTTTGTCTTACTAAATAGCTTCCTCCGTTAAAAATAAGATGGTTATCCAGGGTGTGTTAAAACAAACCAAATTAAATTTAACAGTATCACAGCTATGAGAATAACTTAAAATCTAAATGTCTCTTTCATTTAAAAATTACCTTCAAAAAGAGATTGACAGATTTGGGCTACCATGAGAGAAAATGTAATCAGTATTTTATGTCTAATTTCATTTCTAGGCTTCAGGCAACGCAGGTCTTCCTGTTGCTACAAGTGAAAGAAAGAGATATTTGCCCTGATTCAGCAACAGCAACCTGTTCACACAGAGGATTTGCTCTTGGTGCAAAGACGTCACTGGCAAACTGTTATCTGGACGGCTCTTCTCCACATTATGCTTCCCCCCCCCATGGTTGGCTTACCCATGATAACAGATTTAATGATGGTGGCATCAGCAATACAGCTATCTATGATGAGCACCTGAGAATTGCCCACCATTTTAAGTGAGGGCTGCTATCCCTATGGGATTGGAGGAAATATGAAATGGCAGGTAGCGTGCACCTACTTACTGCTAGGTGAAAATCATGCCACGGCAAATGGATGGGCAGGTGGGAAGATGATGTGCAAAATACATGTCGGCACTGGTAGAATGCCTGTGCAGATACAAAGCCTTCATCTGTTTGGAGCCATGAAATCTGAAGGACACCATCTTCTTGTGTGATGCTGTCAATGCTGGAATCACTCGTGTCTACCCATGAGGAAAGCTGAGAAAACGGAGCAGGGCCTTTTCCAGAGGAATATACTGTATAAACTCTCTCCCTGAAGAAGATAGCCTGGCTCTTCCTGTATATGGTTTAGAGCAGTGGTCCCTAACCTTGGACCTCCGGATGTTCTTGGACTACAACTCCCAGAAGCCTTCACCACCATCTCTGCTGGCCAGGATTTCTGGGAGTTGAAGTCCAAGAACATCTGGAGGCCCAAGGTTGGGGACCACTGGTTTAGAGGCACCCCAAAGCTCTTTCCGTTCTGCATAACTTTAGTGTTATTTTAAATGCTGAAGTGCCATTCTCTGGAGGATTTGTGTTTTTTTTAAAAAAAGATGTTTGTCTTGTTCTTCTCATTATACAGAATGTTTTAAATGTTATAAGTTGTTTTAAGATTTTCCTATGAAAACACCCTTGGGATTCTTTTTGGAGCATAAGGCAGAAATCATTCCATAACAAAAAAATCTCTCTCTCCTCTCTGTCATGTCAAACAAAAGGCCATCGCCTAAAGAAGAAACTCGCACCCAGCAACCAAGCATCTAAACTGAAATTCCTCCTAAAACCAATAATAAGACTTGCCTTCTGTTCCTTATGCTAATAGAATGCCATTTCCATGGAAGGCAAACGATGTCTCTCTTTGCAGACGCTACAAGCACCATGCACATCTGTTATTACTATCTTCTATGGCAAAAGAAGCATACTATAGGACCTCCGTACCCACAGGGGATTAGTTCCAAGCCCTACCCCACAGATGCTGAAAACCACAGATACTGTAATAGTAAATGCTATACAGTACATAGCATGATAATGGAAAAAGAATTAACTTTTTTTTCACACAGATTACCAGATCTGGCCGCCAGAGGGCACCAGAAACCATACTATGTATTATTCAACAAGATGAATTCATACAATGATCTCTGGCTCTCTTTAGTGGCCAGTTCTGGTAATACATGTGAAATTTTCCCCCTCTGGATTTTCTTCTTTTAATATTTTTAATATTTCAGACCACGGATAAGTGAAACTGCAAATATTGATCCTGTGAATACAGGGGCCCTATTGCATTACAAATAACTCACAGGGCAGGATGGATTGGCTTGGATGTAGGGCTCACTCAGAAGAGTTTCAGGTGAATAAAGATGCATTCATTGAATGGTGGAGAAAAAGACTTCCCCAAATTTCCTAGATTATCCTTTACCTGGTTCTGACCTGGCTTAGCCTTTCTTCAGCCCTAGATCAATAATCTCAGGTTTGCTAATGTCACTTCTTTCCTTGTATGTTTCTCTTTAGACCGTCTTTAGGAGAGGATAAAAGAGTCATCTTCCCTTTGTTCCTGAGACATGAGGGAGCTGTCATGACCCCCTGCATCTCAACCTTAGTGAGCTGGAACTAGGATTCCTGTATTGTTTCCTCTTTCAATGTTTCTTCCTACTAAATACTAGCTTTCATATTGTCCTAGAATATGGATGTTGCATATTTACGAAGGGTGCTCTGCTAACCCTACATGCACAAATTAACTTAGCTGCTTTTTGGTGCTACTTGCTTGGGTAACAAGAACAACTACCTAGGGTAAAGCCAGCTTGTCAGTATCTCCTCTGGGGTGCCTTTGCATTCTGGTTCAAGCTGCAAAAGTCCAAGGCATCCTTTAAAGATGACATCCTTTATCTCCTGCACTGAGACCCAGACCTTTCTCCTACAGTGGCAAAGAAAGCAGCTTATTAATGCTAGCATTTGTCAAATCCTTTCTTGGGAAGACATTCCAGCATACTTACATCCAGCCTTCCTAAGACAGTGATAGGACGAAAGCCACATCTGGAGATCAACAATGAGCAAGGCATCCCAGACTGTCTGGTTGTACAAAAGCTATGAAAGAGGGAGGGGCGAAAGCGTTTTAACTTTGGGAAAGAGAAAAGCCTTGACTTTAAAATATTGTTTCATATATCTTATAATATTTCTAGCTAGTCTTTTCATCTGTGAGCTTAAGCGGACATGCATGGCTTGCTTCCTACTTGCTTCACCCTCCCAACCTGGCCAGGGTGGATGAGGGTGACTGGTCGAAGATCAGTTGATGAGTTTTGTGGTCCAGTTAGAACTGGAGATATTCAGTGTGGTGTAGTGGGTAGAGTGATGGACTAGGACTCAGGAGGCCTGGGTTCAAATCCCCGTTTGCCCTGGAAACACACTGGGGTGGTGGAACTTGTAAAGACATTCCTTAAACATTTCACTTACCTTGAAAGCCCTGTCATTCAGTTCCAACTTGAAGGCACGTAGCGACAAGAAGATCTGGAACCCAAATCTCTCAAGTATCATTCCAAAACTGTTATCACTACACTGTATGAAATCCTCCTTTTCTTCTGATAGGGGAAAAGTGGAACAGAGACATTTAAACACCACTGCGTTTATGAAACACACATACCGTTAGTAATGCGTGCAGGTATTGCCTGATGAAGATTCTGGTCTCACGTTCAGCTCAGGTTGGCCAGGTTAGGACCATCCCACTCTCCAAAGTTTCAGAGCCAACATCTGAACACA